GGACGTATGGTAAGGACTTTGTCCATACAGATGTGGATATATAGGACGTATGGTAAGGACTTTGTCCATACAGATGTAGATATATAGGACGTATGGTAGGGACTTCGTCCATACAGATGTGGATATATATATGACGTATGACAGGGACTTTGTCCATACAGATGTGGATATATAGGACGTATGGTAGGGACTTTGTCCATACAGATGTAGATATATAGGACGTATGGTAGGGACTTTGTCCATACAGATGTGGATATATAGGACGTAAGGTTAGGACTTTGTCCATACAGATGTGGATATATAGGACGTAAGGTAAGGACTTTGTCCATACAGATGTGGATATATAGGACGTATGGTAAGGACTTTGTCCATACAGATGTGGATATATAGGACGTATGGTAGGGACTTTGTCCATACAGATGTGGATATATAGGACCTAAGGTAAGGACTTTGTCCATACAGATGTGGATATATATAGGACGTACGGTAAGGACTTTGTCCATACAGATGTGGATATATAGGACGTATGGTAGGGACTTTGTCCATACAGATGTGGATATATAGGACGTATGGTAAGGACTTTGTCCATACAGATGTGGATATATATAGGACGTACGGTAAGGACTTTGTCCATACAGATGTGGATATATAGGACGTATGGTGAGGACTTTGTCCATACAGATGTGGATATATAGGACGTATGGTAAGGACTTTGTCGATACAGATGTGGATATATAGGACGTATGGTAGGGACTTTGTCCATACAGATGTGGATATATAGGACGTATGGTAGGGACTTTCTCCATACAGATGTGGATATATAGGACGTATGTTAAGGACTTTGTCCATACAGATGTGGATATATAGGACGTATGGTAGGGACTTTGTCAATATAGATGTGGATATATAGGACCTAAGGTAAGGACTTTGTCCATACAGATGCGGATATATATAGGACGTACGGTAAGGACTTTGTCCATACAGATGTGGATATATAGGACGTATGGTAGGGACTTTGTCCATACAGATGTGGATATATAGGACGTAAGGTAAGGACTTTGTCCATACAGATGTGGATATATAGGACGTAAGGTAAGGACTTTGTCCATACAGATGTGGATATATAGGACGTATGTTAAGGACTTTGTCCATACAGATGTGGATATATAGGACGTATGGCAGGTACTTTGTCCATACAGATGTGGATATATAGGACGTATGGTAGGGACTTCGTCCATACAGATGTGGATATATATATGACGTATGACAGGGACTTTGTCCATACAGATGTGGATATATAGGACGTATGGTAGGGACTTTGTCCATACAGATGTGGATATATAGGACGTAAGGCTAGGACTTTGTCCATACAGATGTGGATATATAGGACGTAAGGTAAGGACTTTGTCCATACAGATGTGGATATATAGGACGTAAGGTAAGGACTTTGTCCATACAGATGTGGATATATAGGACGTATGGTAAGGACTTTGTCCATACAGATGTGGATATATATAGGACGTATGGTAGGGACTTTGTCCATACAGATGTGGATATATAGGACGTATGGTAAGGACTTTGTCCATACAGATGTGGATATATATAGGACGTACGGTAAGGACTTTGTCCATACAGATGTGGATATATAGGACGTATGGTGAGGACTTTGTCCATACAGATGTGGATATATAGGACGTATGGTAAGGACTTTGTCGATACAGATGTGGATATATAGGACGTATGGTAGGGACTTTGTCCATACAGATGTGGATATATAGGACGTAAGGCTAGGACTTTGTCCATACAGATGTGGATATATAGGACGTAAGGTAAGGACTTTGTCCATACAGATGTGGATATATAGGACGTATGGTAAGGACTTTGTCCATACAGATGTGGATATATATAGAACGTATGGTAGGGACTTTGTCCATACAGATGTGGATATATAGGATGTATGGTAAGGACTTTGTCCATACAGATGTGGATATATATAGGACGTATGGTAAGGACTTTGTCCATACAGATGTGGATATATAGGACGTATGGTAGGGACTTTGTCCATACAGATGTGGATATATATAGGACATATGGTAAGATAGATTCTCATACAGATGTGGATATATAGAACGTATGGTAAGGACTTTTCCCATACATATATAGATATATAGGACGTATGGTAGGGACTTTGACCATACAGATGTGGAAATAGAGGACTATAGTAAGGACTTTTCCCATACAGATGTGGATATATAGGACGTATGGTAGGGACTTTGACCATACAGATGTGTATATATATATAGGACGTATAGTAAGGACTTTGTCAATACATATGTGGATATATAAGACCTAAGGTAAGGACTTTGTCCATACAGATGTGGATATATAGGACGTATGGCAGGGACTTTGTCCATACAGATGTGTATATATATATAGGACGTATGGTAAGGACTTTGTCAATACATATGTGGATATATAAGACCTAAGGTAAGGACTTTGTCCATACAGATGTGGATATATATAGGACGTATGGTAGGGACTTTGTCCATACAGATGTGGATATATATAGGACATATGGTAAGATAGTTTCTCATACAGATGTGGATATATAGAACGTATGGTAAGGACTTTTCCCATACATATATAGATATATAGGACGTATGGTAGGGACTTTGACCATACAGATGTGGAAATAGAGGACTATAGTAAGGACTTTTCCCATACAGATGTGGATATATAGAACGTATGGTAAGGACTGTGTCCATAAAGATGTGGATATAGAGGACTATAGTAAAGACTTTTCCTATGCAGATGTGGATATATAGGACGTATGGTAGGGACTTTGACCATACAGATGTGTATATATACATAGGACGTATGGTAAGGACTTTGTCAATACATATGTGGATATATAAGACCTAAGGTAAGGACTTTGTCCATACAGATGCGGATATATGGGACGTATGGTAGGGACTTTGTCCATAAAGATGTGGATGTACAGGACTATAGTAAGGACTTTTCCCATACATATATGGATGTATAGGACGTATGGTAAGGACTTTTCCCATACAGATATGGATATATAGTACGTATGATAACGATTGTTTCCATACAGATGTGGATATATAGGACGTATGGCAAGGACTGTGTCCAAATAGATGTGGATATATTGGACATACATTATTCAGCGTAAAGTACACACACCGGTCAGTGTCCAGCCTCCAATTAGTCAGTGATTAAACAAGTGCTTACAATACAAAGGACGGACTATATGTAACTAAGAAGGCAAATACGTCGATACCAGTCGTTGAATAATTCACGCATTGCTTCGATGAAAGGATGACGCGTTTGTGGCTGTCAGAGAATAATCAGATGCAATGCCAACACGTCATCAGCTGTGCATTGTACACATCAACAACGACTAAGTCTGCCAGAGTGTGTTTACAACGCCCAGTGTCCCCGCACGGAGTTCTCTTAGTGCACTGCTCACATCAGCCCGGTTACAATACACAGCGCTGATGTCAGCCCAGCTGATGGTGTTGCATCAGCCGCCCAGTGTAGCTGGCAAGTCATGCAGAAACACATGTATTGATTGATTCGTACACCCTGCTGCAAGTGCTGGCCATGCTAAGGCAGTATGACTAACGGGTTCCGATATTGATTAACAGTAAACCATGCTATTGCTAAAACAGAATAGAAAAACAAACAGAGCGTTCTTCGTAACCAAATTATGCCGCGACATACAAGTGTAATCTTCATTGATGTTACTAGTACACCTGTCTGGAAAGTTGAACACACGTATTTGATATATAGATAGATATTCTTTATTTTCTCGATCTGGATTAGCAGATTGTGTTTTCAAAGTAGAGTTAGATCACCTGTATTTTTAACCGCAGCGCTTTCGGTTCCAAATTCAATTTAGCGCGGTTAAATCTATATATAAAGCCCCATATTGAAACACAACACTGTATGTTATACCATGACTAAGTAAAACCCGAACTCTTTGGTGTTAGCAAGTATATAGTGAGTGAGTGAGTGAGTTTGGTTTAACGCCGCTTTTAACAGTATTCCAGTTATATCGCGGCGTGTCAGCTTAATGTGGGAGGAAAGCCCGAAGTGATGCAGGTCTCAGACGTTTACCACTTCGGTGAAACCCACGAGCACGGGTATGGTGCTGACTAACCTAGAAACATAATCAGGGCGAACCGGGACTCGAACCCACAATGATTTCTGGTTTCTGGTTTCTGGCGTGCCCAAGGGACGCAACTCTGCACAGCGAATCGCGGCGCCTTAGACGACTGGGCCACCCGTGCCCCCAGCAAGTATATAGAGTGAAGTGACATAGATTGAGTCTAGTGTTTTGAGTTGGTTGTCGATCTGAATTACGGAATCCCGATAACAACCTTTAAACAAACTATGACGCTCTATATGCTCAAGCAGTTTGTTTACAACATAATACTTCACACGAGCTAATGACAGGCATTGAAAGCATGTTGTACGGCAACTTTGTAAGGTGACATAAGGCGGGCACCCCTAAAGAAAAATAAGCAAGCCTTTGAAAGGTTTCGTTCTACACTGTGCGTCACTATTATGACGTCATATCGCTCACTGTGACGCACAAAATATGACGGCACAGTCGTATATATAGAAGCGTCTAATAGCAAGCTCTCTGTTATCCTCACAACTTGAAATACATTCTCCTTGTAGATTTCCATCGTGTTGACCGCATGAAATGTATTGTACCGACAATGACTGCAAAAAAAGTACTATTCTGAAAATATTAGTTTGCGCCGTGATGCACCTGTTAAATCGGTTGTTTCAATCAGAGTGGTTTTATTGTGATTTGATACCTCATTAAAAGTCGAGGATTTTCCAAATTCATGATAGAAAAAAGATTGCAATATGCACAGACAATAAAGTTACGTGTTACACCTGACAGGGAAGGCTATACACTCGTCTTTAGTACACCTGTCAAGGTAGGCTGTACACATGTCTTTAGTTCACCTGTCAAGGTAGGCTATACATACGTCTTTAGTACACCTGTCAAGGTAGGCTGTACACATGTCTTTAGTACACCTGTCAAGGTAGGCTATACATACGTCTTTAGTACACCTGTCAAGGTAGGCTATACACACGTCTTTAGTACACCTGTCAAGGTAGGCTATACATACGTCTTTAGTACACCTGTCAAGGTAGGCTATACACTCGTCTTTGGTACACCTGTCAAGGTAGGCCATACACACGTCTTTAGTACACCTGTCAAGGTAGGCTATACACACATCTTTGGTACACCTGTCAAGAAAGGCTATACACACGTCTTTAGTACACCTGTCAAAGTAGGCTATACACTCGTCTTTAGTACACCTGTCAAGGTAGGCTATACACTCGTCATTTGTACACCTGTCAAGGTAGGCTATACACTCGTCTTTGGTACACCTGTCAAGGTAGGCTATACACTCGTCTTGAGTACACCTGTCAAGGTAGGCTATACATTCGTCTTTAGTACACCTGTCAAGGTAGGCTATACACTCGTCTTTAGAACACCTGTCAAGGTAGGCTATACATTCGACTTTAGTACACCTGTCAAGGTAGGCTATACACTCGTCTTGAGTACACCTGTCAAGGTAGGCTATACATTCGTCTTTAGTACACCTGTCAAGGTAGGCTATACACTCGTCTTTAGAACACCTGTCAAGGTAGGCTATACATTCGACTTTAGTACACCTGTCAAGGTTGGCTATACACTCGTCTTTAGTACATCTGTAAAAGTAGGCTAAACACTCGTCTTTAGTACACCTGTCAATGTAGTTTATACACTCGTCTTTAGTACACCTGTCAAGGTAGGCTATACACTCGTCTTTAGTACACCTGTCAAGGTTGGCTATACACTCGTCTTTAGTACACCTGTCAAGATAGGCTATACACTCGTCTTTAGTACACCTGTCAAGGTAGGCCATACACTCGTCTTTAGTACACCTGTCAAGGTAGGCTATACACTCGTCCTTAGCCTTGCTTGACACACACACGAAACCCTTGTTTATACTTATGACTAGCTTGACAGCTGTACTAAACCATTGTGTATAGCCAACCTTGACAGATGTACGTATACAAGATGTGTGTACAGCCAGACAGTCTGTATATCAGTACACGTAATCTGGCTCCACGGATTGTTTTGTGTTACTACATCTGGCAGGAAGGGCATAGTGTCTATTACACTGTTACACTGCGTTTATAGTCACGTTGTGTTACTACATCTGTCAGGAAGGGCATAGTGTCTATTACACTGTTACACTGCGTTTATAGTCACGTTGTGTTACTACATCTGTCAGGAAGGGCATAGTGTCTATTACACTGTTACACTGCGTTTATAGTCACGTTGTGTTACTACATATTGCAGGAAGGGCATAGTGTCTATTACACTGTTACACTGCGTTTATAGTCACGTTGTGTTACTACATATTGCAGGAAGGGCATAGTGTCTATTACACTGTTACACTGCGTTTATAGTCACGTTGTGTTACTACATCTGTCAGGAAGGGCATGGTGTCTATTACACTGTTACACTGCGTTTATAGTCACGTTGTGTTACTACATCTGTCAGGAAGGGCATAGTGTCTATTACACTGTTACACTGCGTTTATAGTCACGTTGTGTTACTACATCTGTCAGGAAGGGCATAGTGTCTATTACACTGTTACACTGCGTTTATAGTCACGTTGTGTTACTACATCTGTCAGGAAGGGCATAGTGTCTATTACACTGTTACACTGCGTTTATAGTCACGTTGTGTTACTACATCTGTCAGGAAGGGCATAGTGTCTATTACACTGTTACACTGCGTTTATAGTCACGTTGTGTTACTACATCTGTCAGGAAGGGCATAGTGTCTATTACACTGTTACACTGCGTTTATAGTCACGTTGTGTTACTACATATTGCAGGAAGGGCATAGTGTCTATTACACTGTTACACTGCGTTTATAGTCACGTTGTGTTACTACATCTGTCAGGAAGGGCATGGTGTCTATTACACTGTTACACTGCGTTTATAGTCACGTTGTGTTACTACATCTGTCAGGAAGGGCATAGTGTCTATTACACTGTTACACTGCGTTTATAGTCACGTTGTGTTACTACATCTGGCAGGAAGGGCATAGTGTCAATTACACTGTTACACTGCGTTTATAGTCACGTTGTGTTACTACATATTGCAGGAAGGGCATAGTGTCTATTACACTGTTACACTGCGTTTATAGTCACGTTGTGTTACTACATCTGTCAGGAAGGGCATAGTGTCTATTACACTGTTACACTGCGTTTATAGTCACGTTGTGTTACTACATCTGTCAGGAAGGGCATGGTGTCTATTACACTGTTACACTGCGTTTATAGTCACGTTGTGTTACTACATCTGGCAGGAAGGGCATAGTGTCTATTACACTGTTACACTGCGTTTATAGTCACGTTGTGTTACTACATATGGCAGGAAGGGCATAGTGTCTATTACACTGTTACACTGCGTTTATAGTCACGTTGTGTTACTACATCTGTCAGGAAGGGCATAGTGTCTATTACACTGTTACACTGCGTTTATAGTCACGTTGTGTTACTACATATGGCAGGGAGGGCATAGTGTCTATTACACTGTTACACTGCGTTTATAGTCACGTTGTGTTACTACATCTGTCAGGAAGGGCACAGTGTCTATTACACTGTTACACTGCGTTTATAGTCACGTAGCCGAGCGACATCTTACTCTGTTCAACGACATATCGGGTACCTGTTCTAGTTTCTGTCTCATGTACTGTGGTTTGATGTTTTGTCCACAATTAAACAGTGTGGCAAATACACCAATGACATATAATTGTATCATATACTTCACTAGTATGTTTTTCAATCGTCCGATTTTGTCTGTGGAACCGTGAAGATCCGGGGTAGAACAGGTCTTCAGCAACACATGCATGCCGTAAAAGGCGACTACGCTTGTCGTAAGAGGCCACTAACGGGATCGCTGACTTGGTTGATGCATGTCATCGATCCCAATTGCGTGGATCGATGCTCATGATATTAATCACTGGATTGTCTGGTACAGACTCGATTATTTACCGACCGCCGTCATATAGCTGGAATATTGCTGAGTGCGGCTGTAAACATCAAACCAACCAACCAAACAACCGATATAGTCTGTCGTCACATTTAGGTGTAATATGACCCGCTGATTAATTAGTGGACCTGCTGTGGAGTGTAAGGTGATATGGGTGTGTACGGTACAACCTGTCCTTCTCGTGCATGCTGATGTGAACGTGTCTATTGCTAAGCGTGGTTTTGTTTTGCAGACTACAACAATAGGACTGACAGAGGTAACATTGTAATATCCACATCATGAAATATCATTGGCGTATATTTATAGCGTGAGTGGCCGGATCGTGATAAATGTTGATGGGCCGGCATGGTATACGTCCAGACAACAGGCAGCCGGGTAACATGTGGTAGGTGCACGTGATGTCAACTAGAAATTGTTTTACTGTATAGATATCTCTGGGATCGAGGCAAACTAAGAGAGACAAAGAACGAGAGACTCACAAACAGCGACGGGTAAACAAACTGATAGGGTAACAGGCAGAGACACTGATAAGAACTCTCAGGGAGACAAAGAGAGCTGAAGGCAAACAGAGAGTCTAATAAAATCACAGAGACCGATAGACAGACAAACAGAGAGACAAAACACAGAGACCAATAAACAGACAAACAGAGACACAAAACAGAGAGATGGGTGAATAGACAAGCAGAGAGACAAAACAGAGAGATGGGTGAATAGACAAGCAGAGAGACAAAACAGAGATGGGTGAATAGACAAGCAGAGAGACAAAACAGAGAGATGGGTGAATAGACAAGTAGAGAGACAAAACAGAGAGATGGGTGAATAGACAAGCAGAGAGACAAAACAGAGATGGGTGAATAGACAAGCAGAGAGACAAAACAGAGAGATGGGTGAATAGACAAGCAGAGAGACAAAACAGAGAGATGGGTGAATAGACAAGCAGAGAGACAAAACAGAGAGATGGGTGAATAGACAAGCAGAGAGACAAAACAGAGATGGGTGAATAGACAAGCAGAGAGACAAAACAGAGAGAGGGTCGAATGGACAAGCAGAGAGACAAAACAGAGATGGGTGAATAGACAAGCAGAGAGACAAAACAGAGAGATGGGTGAATAGACAAGCAGAGAGACAAAACAGAGAGATGGGTGAATAGACAAGCAGAGAGACAAAACAGAGATGGGTGAATAGACAAGCAGAGAGACAAAACAGAGATATGGGTGAATAGACAAGCAGAGAGACAAAACAGAGATGGGTGAATAGACAAGCAGAGAGACAAAACAGAGATGGGTGAATAGACAAGCAGAGAGACAAAACAGAGATGGGTGAATAGACAAGCAGAGAGACAAAACAGAGATGGGTGAATAGACAAGCAGAGAGACACATAAACAAACATGGAATCGGAAGGTTAACAGAGACACCGATAAACAGTGAAACAGATCGAGCTATTAACAGACAAACTGAGAGACATATAAACAAACAGAGAGACTAAACAGAGAGACCGATAAAAACACAGAGAGCAATAACCAGACAAACAGATCGAGCGATGAACTGACGAAATGAGAGACAGAGAAACAAACTGGTAGACAGAATGAGGTAGACAGAGTCAGGTAGACACAGAGACAGGTAGACAGAGTCAAGTAGACACAGAGTCAGGTAGACAGAATCAGGTAGACAGAAAGTCAGGTAGACAGAGTCAAGTAGACACAGAGTCAGGTAGACAGTATCAGGTAGACAGAAAGTCAGGTAGACAGAGTCAAGTAGACAGTGTCAGGTAGACACAGAGTCAGGTAGACAGAGTCAGGTAGATAGAGAGTCAGGTAGACAGAAAGTCAGGTAGACAGTGTCAGGTAGACACTGAGTCAGACAGAGACTCAAGTGAACACACAAGAGAGTCAGACAGTCACTGCCCGCCTGGTCACATCGATGTTATTTATTAATTCATGACGTGACATTCAAACCGTTGATATCGTTGAATTATACATACTTCTCCTTCATATCCCGTGCAACCCATGTACTCGTTTCCTTTGTGTGGTTTGAAATATCCCTGGTAATGATGACACAGCACGGAAAATGGTGTGAAAAATACGAGATCTGACGCGAAACCAGCACATGATATAGCAGGGTCTTTGTTCCGGCGGAAGAGTTCATTGTATGAGTAACAAGTCTGACGTGGATGTACATATTCATATTTTTAAATGATTGACAGCCACCATAAACTGTTTGCAGACCTGTGCTGTAGCCTGTGTGGTAGTGACTGCACATTGTAGAAGATGACGGTGTGTAAGGTTGAACAGGCTCAGCCGAACGCATGTCACAACCAAAGTTGACTTACTGTGGACATTCTTATCAATGACCTTTACTGACACATAGCTCAAACAGAATTTGATTTCACGTTCCATTTGGTTATTATCTAATCAGATTAGTGTAATGTTTTGAACGCTGTAGTCGTTGCTTTTCGCCCCTACCAACATCCCACCCCACAACATACTCACACAGTAGAAGGTCGCTTCGTAGACGTGATTCAACAGCTGATCAACATAAGGAGTTTTTGATGATCCGAGGAGAGCCCTCTCTGCACTCAGCTTGTGGTCAGGTATATGGTCTTATTTGTTACTGCTAAACATAATCCATTCAAATAGTCCTGGATACACTGTAAGTAGATTATGATGGCATGTGCATAATGAATGGACACTCAACGTCAGTAAGGTGACAGCTTGCAACAATAATGTCATGGCATGCCCTCGACGGACACTCAACGTTAGTAAAGTGACAGCTTATAAGAATAATGTTAAAACATGAACTCGACGGACACAATATGTCTGTAAGGTGGCAACCTACAATAATAATGCTATGACAT